TGTCTTACAGCACAATACATAGCTGCGAGTTCCCTACCGAATGTGCTGTACCTCGATTCGGTGTCTAGCAACCGTCTAGAGAAGAATGCCAAGGGTTGCCAGAAGTTGTTAACCCATTGTTGTAAGTCTCCTCCGATTGCTGAGTCGGATGCGTCTTCTGCGTTGCTAATGGGTGCTTGAGTGTCCTGATAAGCAAGCATTGTTGCTTTAGCGATGAGTTCCTTAATTGTGGAGAATGCTTTCCGTGCGATGTCGTCCAAAACAATAGATTTCGCATTTCCACGAAGTTGATCGTTTAGCGGTTTCATGAGTAAAGCGCATTCAGGTACGAATCGTCCATAGAAACTTACAAGGCCGTTAAACATTCGTAGTTGCTTGACGGTGGTCGGTTCTTGGTAATCCAGAATTGCCGCCGCTTTGGTCTTAAGGGGTCGAACGCCTTGAGCATCCATAGTGTGTCCTAGGAAGTTTAATGAGTCGGTTCCGAATTGGCATTTCTGAACGTTTACAGTTATGCCATGTTTTTGAAGTCGTTCGAAAACAAGATCCAGATGCTTGAGATGTTATTCTCTGTCCGGACTTGGGATTAGGCAGTCGTCAACATACGCATGTACGAAGTTGAGACCTCGAAAAACGTCGTCTATGAACCTTTGGAATATTTGAGAAGCGTTTCTTAGACCGAAAGGCATTCGCAAAAATTCATAGAGTCCGAAGGGAGTTATGATAGCTGTTTTCGGTATGTCGTCAGTAGCCATAGGGATTTGGTTATACGCTTTAACCAAGTCGATTTTCGAAAAGACCGTTGTACCTTTCAAGGTAGCTGTCAAATCGTGAATGTGAGGCAACGGGTAACGATTGGGAAAGGTTTGGGCATTCAATCGCCGATAGTCACCAGTAGGACGCCAATCGTTGCTGTCCTTTTTAGGGACCATGTGCAACGGAGATGCATATGGGCTATTTGACGGTCGTGAGATTCCTAAGTCTATCATGTAATCGAACTCGTTTTTCGCCAACCTTAGCTTTTCAGGGGCTAGTCGTCGTGCTTTAGAGAATACAGGTGGTCCTGTAGTCGTGATGTGATGTGTAACGTTCCTGGTTACACACGGTAGTTTCGGTTGCATTTGCTGAATCCCAGGATACTTATCGAGTAGCGGTTGATAAAGTGGGTCTATCGTATGTTTAATTGTGACTGGGGATAATCTGCAACCAGTGAAAGAAGTTACGCAAACGGATAAATTAGTGTTTCCATCTACTAGCCTTCGTTTGCGAGTATCAATGATTAGATTATGGTGTTGTAGAAGGTCCATAACAATAATTGACATGGAAACATCTGCAACAACGAAGATCCAGTGAATGGGTTTGCGTAAATCCACGTTAAGGTAAACGTACCTTTTGCCATACGTAGCGATAGGTTTTCCGTTTGACGCCTGTAAGTTTAGAGCCGATTCGTTAAGCCGGTCGTTGGGATTCGCTGGGAGAACGCTTACTTCTGCGCCAGTGTCGACGAGGTAACGAACTCTCGTTGTCATATCTGTGACGTATAACAGACGGCTGTGTTCGCCGGCTACGGTTGTTGTTAACGCGTGCCGGTTTGGAAGTTTCCCGAGTTGTTTTTCGAGTCACTCGGTTTTGAGTTGGGATAATTGCAGGGTTTTCTGCAATTTCTGGAAGACTTTCCATACTGGTTGTGATACCAGTACCAGTCGGGATTATCCGTCTCTCGCGGTCTAGAGACAGATCGCTTACGTGAAATGCTTCTACGTGGGGTGTGCGAGCGATTACGGTTGTTACGAAGATTAGGATAACGCGTGAGTGTATGACATAACTCGGTTATATCATTCTGAGTCGTGCGAGGCTTTTCTTTGACTGAAAAATCCTCGGTAGTAGAAGATTTCGTAACCTCTAAGATATGATCGGCAGATGCAGCCTGTTCGTCTAAGGCGTTGTTCTGAAACGAGACCAGAACCGCTTGCACCTGTTGGGGAAGTTTTGACAAGAAAAGCTGTTTGAATAGGCCCTCGTCGAAAGTTCTTAGGCCTATAATCTCTCTCATCCTTTGCAACATGTCCGTCGCAGAACCGTGCTGTAGGTCTATGTTATTAAAGAGTTGATCTAACCTTTGTCGATCGGTTTTGGTCTCCTTGTTTAAGAATCGAACGTTTCAAGGTTTCGTAAGGTTCAGAAACATCACTAGTAAACATACTAGGTGTTACGTACCTGTTGAATTCCCGCTGTAGTGCCTTGACTACTGCGAGGAATTGTTCACGTGTGTCGTTCACGTCGTGCTCGTGGAAGTCAGCTTCTGTGCAGCAGAACCAGGCTTCGATATTGTCGGGCCAGAAGGACATGAGTTGGAACGATGGTGGGGACATGGTCTTAATCTTAAATACCTTAGGAGTCTGTTCGGTCATAGGGGAATATTAAGTACGAGACTACGAGGGAAAATTATATAGATATCCTGAAACACGGGGAAAAAATATCACAATGTATAAAAAATGAAAAGTAAGGCAATAATATATAAAAAATTCCCAAAAAGGAACAGACTCACAGTTGCAATTCGGTGTACCAGACCACGTCGGTCTCACCAATGAAGAAGACACCGGTATTCAGTGTTTGATAGCGCTTTTACCAGTAACACTTTCTAATATAATTTGTATCCACCGACAGAAATCAAAAGACAGAGTCGAGGAGATCGAAGAGTGTATATATCGGAATTCTCTGATCTAATCTGGCTAGCGATTGCGGTAGATGTTGAGCACGGCGTTACCACACGTGATCTGGTGCGGATGCCTGACCGAGCGCATTCAGCCAGATGAGTCCACTAAAACATATGGTCAGCATCCAATGTCGAAAACGTACAGGGCTATTTATTTTGGGGATTTATTTACCGCTACAATATCTTTCTTATATTTCATATATTCTCCCCAGTAGCTTTTCGCTTAGTTAATAATAACGAGACAGATTTCATGTAACTAAACAAGTCTTATCGAACATTATTCGTCAAACCATAATTTATTGTGTATATACAATTTTAGTGTTGAATATGAACTTTTTGATCATAGTCTACTTTATCCTTGAGATTTGCATCACAGACATTGTGACTTTTTAATATGCGTATCTTGATGTTCTGAAAAATTGTGAATAATGAAGGATTGTCTACAGAGCTAAGCACAGAATGATGCAGCAAATATCTCAGTGTACTATTGAACTAAAGTATGTCAGTTACACCATACAACATTTAGAATTAGGCGATACTAGGTATGACCTTGGAGTTTTCAGACTGACTTTTGACCAATGAGTACGGTCAAAATCAGGAGTTTCTCTTTTAAATAACATAAGAATCAAATGTTTATGTTTAGAAGTTTTCTAAAGGGGCGTGAACCCTTGGTTGCTTTATTTCTTGAAGTCTGGGATTTTTTCACACAGCCGTTTGGAATAGTCGTTGAAATGACCAACTGAGACAATTGTTTCGGTATTAATGCTCTTAAAACAAAATAGTAAATTATTGGTGCTCTTCGTCGACTCGTATGACACCATCAATTTGTCTATTCTGAATATAAAAAACGTGATGAAATTTTACAAAATTTTGTTTCATGTAAAATTTGCAATGAAGGGAATAAGCGGTGTTGTTTTCCTTTTACATTATGTCCCCACCGTACAATGCCACAAAAAGCCTCCAATTTTTAATCCGAGGGGACTTAAGGTCGAACAAAGTAGTTTGAAAACTGATCAGTGCTTAAATGATATTCAACATTATCGTCTAAAGTTTGTTTGACCCGGCAGTGTAGTAATTAGACACACTTGTCAGGCCTATTACTGAAGGGTTAAATTGACTATGATACTACTATGTAATCGAAATACCTAACGACTGAATAATGTTAAATACCGGTACTTAAGATGGACTATGGCCATAGTCCATTTTCATAGATGCAGTCAAGTGGATGAAAAATATGCACTGAGATCTAACAAGGAAGTGTTAGTAAGAAACTATGCGTAATTTATCCGTTTGAAGGCTCTCCTTCAAGTCTAAATTCTGTTCGCTTTCGTATGACTGTTGACTACGGAGTGTACACAAATAAGTATGATTTACCTTGCTAATCGAACCTTTAAACAACATTTCGAGAAGACATTTTTATCGTTAAGTTAGTTTTATAATCTGAAAGCTATGATAACTGGGCGAGTGGGAATCTGTCACTTAGAGCATCTCATAATTACAATACAGAATCTCTGTTGCTTAGTATATTCAAGCCTATTTGAGTGCAAAATTGACGTACAAAGTAAAGGTTAAGGGGTGTGATCCGTAAAGTACTATCACTTCAGTAGAGAATAAGACTTATTAGGTAATCTAAAATAACTCACCATACAACATTTTTGAATGGTAAGATATATATTTTTCGAAATTCATTGTTAGGTTGGAGGTGGATACATTACATTATGGTTTATTTCTTAAGTAGTTGATTCCAAGTACTGCTTTGCAAAGTAACATGGTCGTGTCAGCCGTTTATAAGCAATTTTGTGAAATGTCTTCAACCCTTGATGTATTTCAATTATTTCTAGCACGATGACAGAAAATTAGAATAAGCTCAATAGAGGCTAATTAAAAAATCTGAGTCTCTTGCTTTCAGTTAACGGTAAAAGATATATTCTTAAAGTCAGACTTTGACTTGGCTTCGGAGGTTACGCTCAACTTCCAATACTATATATGGGGTTTATACAGCATACAATTAGCCAAGCCAAATAGGGCCTCGGTTTGTGCTCTAATCAAATAAGTAGGATCAATTAAACACAAACTGTGCCACTTTTGTTTTGTCAAAAATGTTCAATCTTCTTTTAAAACTATTCAAACTGCAGTAAGATTATTATTATATCTGTAGGGACCCAATACTTCCTAAATAATGAAGATTGTGATTATCAGTCTGTTAGTGATAACTAGCCGTTTATCCCAATATTCTTCTTCATCTACCACGTTGAAGTACTTATTATTGCTCAGATTTCCTTTTTAGACAAACCTTAAATCTTAGCGATTTATAATCCGAATGTCTGAAATTGCAACGCATCGAACGCCAATCAGCATTTTACAAGAAGTGTGCGTAAAGAAAGGAATAACCCCGATCTACGAACTTGTGTCAAGTGAAGGACCGATCCATGAGCCACTTTATGTATTTTTGTGCACAGCCGGTCCATTCAGTGCCACTTCTAAAGGTAACTGGTTTACTTAGCCGTTCAGTTTTCTAATCAGGAGCGAGTAAGAAGAGAGCCAAACATCAAGCATCATATTTAATTTTGCTAAAGATGCTGAACAGCAGGCTTTTGACAGAGTCGGAAAAATATACTCTGCGGGATATACATATTGCCGCGGTCAACGTTCTAGGATCTGACTTTATGGACTCACTTGATGATATAGAACTGGATGGCCTACCAAATAAAATAAAACAGGAAGAGGAAGGTAACTTTGTTGGACAGCTACAAGATTTGTGTCAGAAAAATACCTGGCCACCGCCATCCTATGAATTCTTAACCATACCGCAGTCTACCCCATCGGGTAATGAATACAGTTGCAAAGTCAGGTTGTGGAAATGGACTCATACAGGTAAAACTAACATTTTTGTGGGAATATTACAGGATTTGGAAATTCCAAAAAATCTGCAAAGCGACGCGCAGCCCTAGGACTTTTAGATAATATTATCAAAAATAATCTGACTATACCTCAAGAGGCTTTGGATGATATGGAAGAAGAAACCCTTTCTTTAGTAAGTTATCGATGTCCTAATTTAGCAAAAACTAGCTTGACAAACAGGACCAGTCTGATCTGAAGGAAAATAAATTAGAAAATGAGGCAACTGCTCGTATTTCTTCCAAAGCTCTTCGTGGTTTATGGAATAGAAAAGGTGGTAAAATACGTGTTCCACCCATAGATAACCCTGATAAGGTGGATAACGCATGTGAATATCTCCAGGAGATTTGTGATTGTGCAAAAATTACTGTTGTATATACATACGTTCCTGCAAACAGTCAGGGTATGCCATTCATTCGTTTACTTTTCAAAATTGTTTGTATCTAATCAAACTTCAGTAAGTTTCGTTACAGAATAGTCTTCACTGACTTGACAAATTATGTAGTGACGATCTATGAATCAAGATATGGGTCGCCGTTTTAAGCGAAGGGTGATGATGGTAGGCAGCCTTTGTAGCCCTTAAGTTCCAAACATAAGACCTAATAGAAAAGCGAGTTTCCACACCAGTTAGAGCAGCATAAAGGTTAAATGTCCTGATTTTGACTGCCAATATTGTTATCCAGTCTCCATCAATGAGTTCTTTTATATTAATGACCTGACACTACGACTATTTTAAAATGGGATATACTAGACTGTACTTTCTAAAAGGTCGGATTTTAGATGTCTTGAGCATTACTACAATTTGACTACATTAACGATATTTTTTCTAAACCAATACATTGGAATGTACACAGGTGTCAGCAAAATGGTTACAATTAATTAGTATGTTTTCTAAAAGTATATCGATTTGGAACGTTATTTGTGTAACTTTTGGAGTTACGCTATAAATATCCACTATTATTTTACGCTTTTTAAATTTCAAGTGGCGTTTAGCACAATGTCCGATTTATGAATGTTAAGATGTATTGATTATTCTACTTTACGAAATTCTTCAATTAATACTGAACTATTTATATACTTTTTAGGGATGATCTGCTGCTTTGCGGAACTTTCCACTCTACCACCACATGTAATCAAAAGTCAATTGTCACCAAACCTGGCAAGTGCACGTAAAGATGCTGCTCGCAGATGTATACTATTTCTAAAGGCTATGTCATCTACAACACCTTGTCTTAACTACAGTGAATGGTTTTCTGCTTCTCCTGATAATTATTTGAAATAGATTTAAGTAATTAATTCTATATATATGTACATACATTTGCCCATCTTGTTTTCGATTACGCTCGTGAGGATCAAATTCAAGATAATCTAGGGCAATGAAAAAAGTATCTCTTGTAGCAGAAATATATGATGACCCTTACAGTATAACCTCCCTAAAATGTTGTTTCACGATGCACTCTGAAAATTCAAATGGTAAGATAAGGGATATTTATGAAAATATATTTGCAAGGATAAATCTTAGCAAGCTGAAAAAAATAAATACAACATTTTACTTTACAATTTTAATGTTAGAATTCGGTCGGTGTGCCATTTTGGTTACTTTGGCCATGGCCATTTGCTGTTCATCTACTTTCCCCTTCTTCGGGGGATTAAGTTGTTTCGATCTTATCCTCATTAGTTTTCGACGATGTCGCCGACGGTCAGCAAGAGTGCGCTCATTTTTACCAATAAGTATTTCACCTCTTGGTGGGCAAATCTCTTCTGGAGCTAGGAGATTGGCTGTTGAGACGACTGTGGGTCCAGGTTCTTCTAATTTTGATGCTGCATCATTCTTAGTAGACGTGGAAGCGGGTATGTACTAAATTCAGAATTAAGGTAGAAAGGTAAGTAATAAAATAAGCATTTCATCATATTTGTTAAAGTGGAAGAACCGCAACATAGAAAGTATGGTTAAAAAATATTCCTTATCAGCGTGTTTCATAAGTTTTCAGTCTATCAGTTCATCTGTAATAAATTTAATATTACTAAATGCTCACGCACATACTTGAACGTCTGTTAAAAAACGTTACTATCAAGACCATTTCCGTTAACGAAAGTTGGAAAATATAATCATATGTGATTACATTTCAAATTGGAAGGTCTGTATATGTTGAAGGTAATTAGCCATCAGATATCTACCAAGCATTACTTGCGTAATGTATAACTGCTTAATAAACAAAGATGGTGTTAGGCATAAAGTACTAAGGTAATAAGTTATTAAATTCTATTCTTTACCAGATGGTCTGAGTGAATACTCTTCTGACAACCTTTATTTGGATGAAAACAAGAGGGTACTAAGTTAACCTTTCTATGTTATGTGTGAGACACAAAGATTCTGGCCAACCAGGTCAGCAATAATTGTTTGTCCAAAAACATGAAAAAGGATAAACAATGTGGAGATCGACGCTAATGTTTATTAGTCTTAATTATCACACTACATCAGCAGAGCGAGAGCATGTGTAAATAATATCAACTGTAGTGGTAAAATACTTCATGAGGAATAAGTCAAATCAAGGAGTAAGATGTGTGAAATAACTTAGCTCAGGATTTACAAGATGTAAAATGCATGTATCTGTACCACTCCGACTATAGACTATGCCACGTGACGTCTCCAGATGAGAAGTCTGAACTTTTTGATAGATATATATATAGCGATTTTCTGGGTTGGTGTCATTTCTTTGCCTGGCCGTTACTTTCCAATTATCTTATATGATACCCGGTAACCCACCACGAGATACTCAATAGCAGGTCGTCTTGTGACTAGCTTAGTCGATGAAGGTTCTCAACGGATTTACCACTAGTACCCTACACATAGTATTGCCATTAATCACCTCGTTCTAAAACTATGCAGGAGCTGTTATGAATGCAATATTAACTGACATCTATAGTAGATCCCCCAATCAAAATCCCACTTGTACTATCTGGTCTATAGCCTAACGTCTTAAGCTCTAACCAAACATACTCTTCGACTGGCAAGGTTAGTCTTGAGTTGCGGTTAAGGTAATGTTAGCTTTCATTCGGAAGCCGATACGCACTTCTTTTTCCATCTCATCCTAAGTTCCAATGAGAGAACACTGCAGACGAACTTCTATTACCAAATTTCAGACACCCAATCTTTTTAATTCGAACACTTGGCTTGTATACGTAAATTATCATACCCAACACATTCTAGATAAGAGAGCATCCTTCACAAAATCAAGTCATAAATCCCCGAGAACGGAGCAAACGATAAATAACTAATTAACAACAAAGAATGGCAAGATATATTACGTTAGTTAATTTGTTGAACGGGACGTAGAAATACAATAATCTGTTTGATAAGTGCGATAAAAACAAACAATATTAGTCCATAAGATGGTTCCGAAAGTTATAATATTCCAAGCATTCACTTCATCACAATAGGTAAGATCTATATGAACAATTAGTAGCAACATACATGTCCTTAATATTTATAGACAATACTTCACACTTGTAACGCACTAGAGGCTGAAATATAACACATCATATGTACTCTGACAAACAGAACATCTTGCCTGCACAACATAGCTCAAGACCTCTAAATTATTAAGTTAGTTTCCATATTGAGATGGACAAGAAACTAAACATTTTGGAAACCACGATAATTGAAGTAATCCTTTTATCGTCAAAAAGTACACCCAGAGGTCATTTTAGGCTACCACAAGGAGTTTTACGTGGGTCTTTAAACAAAGAGCAGAACAGTCCTGTTATTTAGCTGAGATTAAGTGAGTGATCGCACATGTCCTCTGTATCTGCGTTTCGGGCACCATACAATAATGGGACGAAGCTTCAAAATCTTGAACAATAAGACTTACTTCTACAACTGATAGAATTTAAGCATTTTGAAGTAACATCAAGTAATGTGTAGAGTAGTTCTAAGAAATCACTAGTGAGTTGTTAGAACCAGTGAGACATAAGGAATATGAAAATACGTAAGAAAGTTTGGTGATAGAAAAATAAGGAGGCAAAGAAGAGGTCTCAGAGTCAACAAGAACTTTAGCGCTCCTGAGGATATGATGGTGGTTGGTTTTCTCAGGTTTTTAACAAGGAAAGGTATTTATCGATAGTCAGTCAGTCAGTCAGCTACAACGTAGGACCAGGCACATATGTGAATCGGTCCAGGTTGCCATACCGCATCAGCACAACAAGATGAACACCGGATTCATATCAGTGGTTAGGTCAAAGGTAGTAATATGTAAGAGAAAGATTGCATATAGAGATATAGTACAAGAAGAAAGAATTGGTTCGTAGAAAGAAAGATATGAAGCGATTTTAATCTCTTAGTTTAAGGGAAGACAGGGAGTGTATACACCGACGCCATTGTGATCGATTCTGAGCCATGTCACCGAGAGTCTCCAACCATTGGTTACGATAGTCACGCGGACCCCAACCAAGTAGTCTGCATCTACCAACATGGCTCAGACTAGAAGTTAGTGACTTCAAGCACTGATGCCACGTTTTGGTTTGGCCGCCCCTAACTTTCTTCCAACCATCTCCAATACCGGATAGCAATGCACGTCGTGGTAATCGGTGTTCAGGCATACGTAACACGTGGCCCAACCATCTCAGTCGATGAAGATTCATAACCTCATCAACTGATTTACCATCATTCCCTAATACCCTGCGTCTAACCTCACTATTACTTACCCGGTGATCCCAGCAGACCCCAGCAATATTTCTAAGGCATCTGTGGTCAAATACTAGTAGCTTACGAGTGTCTTCTACTCTTAATGGCCATGTTTCGCTGCCGTAAATTAAAACAGAACGGACTGCCGCGCAGTATACTCGTCCTTTTATTGATAGACGGATATCTCGCCTTCGCCATAGGTGGCGCAAGTTGGCAAAAGCCAATCGAGCTTTTCGAATCCGTGCTGAGATTTCGTCCGATACCAACCCATTAGGGCTGATCAGACTTCCAAGATAAGTGAAGTTGTCAACGCGTTCGACTACTTCACTCCCTATCCTTAGTTCAGGTGTTAACGCAGACCAGTCCTGAAGCAACAACTTGCATTTAGAGGGAGAGAAGCGCATTCCAAACATTCTGGCATTGTTGCTCAGTGCTACCAGAAGACTCTGCATTTTGTCAGCGTCTTCACCAAACAGGACTATATCATCTGCTTATTCTAAGTCGATAAGTGGACCTCCTGGTAGGAGATCAATACCCGAGAACTCAGTCGACGAGAAAGTTATTTCCATCAGTAGATCTATGATGAAGTTAAACAAAAATGGGGAAAGTGGACAGCCTTGACGGACACCACTTGAGGTTGCAAAAGTAGATGACAGTTCGCCATAAGCTCTGACTAGACTAGTAGTGTTCGAGTAAAGAGCCTTCACAAGGTTTATGTACTTCTGGGGTACGCCTTTCAATGACAGACACTGCCATAGAATCTCGCGGTCTACCGAGTCAAATGCTGCTTTTAAGTCGAGAAAGACCACCATTGTCGGACGTCGATAAGTATGCCTGTGTTCTAGAATCTGACGAATGGTGAATAAGTGGTCGGTGCAGCCACGACCAGGTCTAAAGCCAGCTTGGTTCTCTCGTGTTTGCAGTTCACGAGTCTTAGTTAGGCGTCTGATAATTATCGAGGCTAGTATTTTAGATATTATATTAGTTAGACTAATCCCTCTGTGGTTGTCACAGGATGATTTTGACCCTTTCTTATATATTGGGACGATAAGTGATTGTGACCAGTTAGATGGAATAACGTCTAACTCCCAGATTTTAGCTAAAATATTAGTCAACCTAATCGCTAAAATTGGCCCACCATCCTTAAAGACCTCTGGAGCCAATCCATCTGGACCAGCTGCCCTTCCTCGTTTCAGATTAACTATAGCATTTTGAACTTCAGCAAGAGTTGGGGGACCTACTTCAATGTTCCATTCACACTGTCTGGGAATGGAGGGTAGTTGACACATAACTTATCTATGTTAATAAACAACAGTGACGTCGATCTTGCTTAATCCGAGTTTACAATTTGAAATGAGAGAATAGTCAGACACACCTTATGTGGCACAAAATGCAGACTAGAAAGTCTATCTAACTTGTCGAAGAGCTCCAACATTTCAGCTTGGATTGCATTCTTTTGAGGGTCTCCTTGGTCTTCTTCAAGAATCTAGAAATAAGATGTCAAATGTAGTTCCTACCTGATTTCTCTTGAGAAAACTTTCATACTCCTCTACCAGTGACTTCTGAACAACATTTTGTAATGGGATTTCCTTAGAAGGCCCTTTAACTTCCTTAACTTTGAAAACAGGACTGTCAAA